CTCCATGTCAGTGGCTGCTGCTGGTGCCCTCTGTCAGCCACCTCCTTTGCTTCTTTAGACTCAATAAAGTTGTTCTGCATCCAAATCTGGGCCTCTGAGTCCTCCTTCCTTCTCTGTCTGCCCTTACAAGGCACTCAGGGAAACATGAGGGGAGAGCAGAAGGTGGGACTCCCTTTAGAGGATTTTAATTTGTGCTCTTTCCCTTGGACCTGACAAGCCTATCCCTGGCTACTCCCCAGCCAGGATTATGAGGGAAAGCATGGTCCCAAAAAGTGGAAGGAGAGGGGATGTGAAACAGCAATGCCTGGGCACAGCCCACAACTTCATCCCTTCCCACACCTCCCTTACACTGACTGTTCTGCCCAGCTGTGTCCAGACAGGCAGGGCTGGGGTGTTTGCTGTGTCAGGACTGGGATCAGCCACACAAAAGAGCTGAGTGGGATCAGCTGTTCCATGGAGCCCTTTGCAGGTGGATGTACCATGAAGATTGCTGCGATATTGTGCAGAACCTGCACCAGAAAAGGTTCCTGGCAGGAATGCCCACTGCAGCAGAGAGAGGCTGACAATGCAGCAGGTCCTGATGGCAGGACCTGTTACACTCTCATGGAGCTACACATTCTCTCTGCAGAAGGGTCTGGACAGGCTGGATACACGGGCCAAGCCAACACTGAGGGCCTACAAGAGTCGTTGCTGAGTCCTACTTTGGCCACAATAACCCCCTGCAGCTCTACAGGCTGGGGCAGAGCAGGTGGAAAGAGGCCTTTGTGGAAAAGGACTTGGAGGTGCTGGTGGACAGAGGCAGAACAGGACCCACAGTGTGCCCAGACCGGCAAAAAGGCCAAGGGTATCCTGGCCTGTGTCAGGAATAGTGTCCAGCAGGACCAGGGCAGAGATTGTGCCCGTCTGCTGTGCACTGGTGAGGCCACACCTCGAGTGCTGTGTGTAGTTCTGGGCCCCTCAACTGAGGAAGGACATTGAGGGGCTGGAGTGAGTCCAGAGAAGGGCAGTGGAGCAGCTGGAGTGCCTGGAGGGCATATCCTGTGAGGGCATGCTGAGGGAACTGGGGTTGTTTAACCTGGAGACGAGGAGGCTCAGGGGTGGCCTCATCACTCTCTACAACTCCTTGAAAGGAGGTTGTAACCAGATGGGGGTTGGCCTTTTCTCCCAGGCCACCAGCAGAGTTCAGGCTGCTCAGGGAATCAGTCAACCAGGTGTTTCAAGCTCATGGTGGGTGGATCTTGGCAAGTGGCCTGGTGCCCATGAAGACATTCTATCACTGCCTGTCCTCACCTGGGCGAGGGGAGAAAATACAATGCCAAAGTGAGGGGTCAAAATAAGGTCAGGGAACACTGAGCAATTCCTGTCACAGGAAAAGATGATTCATCTTGGGGAAATACAACTCCTTTATTTCCAGTAACCCATGGACTATGACAAAGGAAATAATAAGACATTAAAACCAAGATTCCCCCCAGCCTTTCATAGGTCCTGGCAGCAGTACCTGCTCCATTGTGGGCTTCTCTCCACTGCAGTGGATATTCCTACCAGGAATCTTTCCTAGTGTAGGCTCTTCCCGGGGTCATGGCTTTCTTCATGGTACATCCACCTGCAAAGGGCTCCACAGAACAGCTGATCCCAATCAACTCTTTTGTGTGCTTGATCCCAACCCTATCCCATGAAACATCCCAGCCCTGCCTGTCTGGACACAAGGTGGTTGGAATGGTCAGTGTAAAGGAGATGTAGGAAGAGTTGATGCTTTGGGCTGTGCCCAGGCATTGTTCTTCCCCATCACCAGTCCTGTAAACTTTTGGAGCCATCTTCTCTTTTGGTGTGGTCCTTGCAGTGGATAAGCCAGGGAGGTCTTTGTCGGCTCCAAGGGAAAAGGCACAAAGAAAACTCCAGCAACTCCAATCCTCTGCCTTCCTCTGCCCCCCATCACTGAACTCAATGGAAAAGTTAGCAAAGAATAATGAAAGACTCAGAGGCCAAGGCTTGGATGCAAAACAACTTTATTGAGTCTAAAGAAGCAAAGGAGGTGGCTGACAGAGGGCACCATCAGCAGCCACTGACATGCAGTGGGGGTGTCCCCCTGACTGCACTGCAGAGGGAGGGAGGGGGGCCAAAAGGTCCCCAGGAGAGGGAAGAAAGAAGAAAAGAAGAGGCAGAAAGTCTAAACGCTGTGTCCCAAAGTTGTGTTTTCAGTCCAGTAGCACAATCAGAGGTCTTGCAGGTTGTTGCCCCAGGATGTTTGCAGGGCCTTTAGCAGGGCCCACATCTGCAAGGGTAGCAGCTGGTGATGCAGGAGAGGTCAAAGCCCCCGGAGTTGATGGGCACTCCGTCACAGCTGAGGATGCTGCCAACGGCAGCGGAGGTGGAGGATCCCACCACGGTGTTCTGTGGGAAGGAGCTGAGGATGGGCCCGGGCAGGGTCACCAGCACAGCAGGAGGTTCAATGACGACGGTGGAGCTCTGGCACTGCCTGACACAGCACTCATTGCAGCTGTTGGCCAGCGGGGTGGGCCCGCAGGGCTGGCAGCAAGGGTTGCAGGGCTGGCACTGCTGGCACTTCTCAGGGCACGACATGTCTCGAGCCTGGGGCTGCACCTGGCACACAGGGCAGGGAGCAAGCAGAGCACACGCACACCTCAGCAACAGCCCGCCAAGCACCACCAGCAAGCCAAGGCTTCTGCTGCTGCCTGGCCAGGGACAGGCTCTGCAGGGGCCAACAAGGCAGCCTTGCCCTGAGCCCAGCAGGGCCTGCACACATCAGCCAGGCCCAGGGCTGCTCCTGCCTAAGCTACAGGAAAAGAAGCCCCTCAGCCCAGCTCAGCCTCTGGCCACAACACACGCTCTGCCCTCTGCCCACACCACCCCCATCCCAGAGCCCTCCCACAACAACAAGGAGCAGGGATGGGCTGCAAAGCTCCACCCTGTGCTAGAGAGGGGAGGAGAAAGGGGGTGTCCACTCACCGGGTTGCTGAGGACAAGGAGGTGACAGAAGGGCTTGAGAGAGCCACCAGTCAGGCTGGCTTTTATGCTGGCCCCACAGAGCCTCAGGGCCCAAAGGCCATGCTGCATAAGGGACAATTTTCCTGCATGATCCCAATGAACAGAAACATCTCAGGGAATGATAGGTATGGCATGAGTTGGTGTTTCCAACTACCCTGACTTTGGATTTCCTGGCCTACGTCATCACCCTTCCCTCATGGACACTTGTGAGTTCGGGTATGAGAGGTTCCAGGATTTCTGGGTGTAAGAGATGTGTCAGTATGGGCAAAAGTTGTGATCTAAGTGCACAAAGAAGAGGCAGGTGATGCCAGCCTGGGGCACTCTGCTCCTGCTGACAGGAAGGTTCCCAGCAGCTCCCAGCCCTCCAGCCTTTGGCTCATCACCCAAGGGCTCCCCTGAGCTGTGCCTGAGTTCACCTCTGATCCCAGCCATGGCTTCCACATGAGACAGGAGCAAGGACCCTGGGAAACAGCTCTGTGCCCCAAGGCTGCCTGGAGGGAGTATGAGGAGTGATGGCCTGGGGTCAGGATTCTCCTCTGTGAGACCTGAGTGCCGTGATCCTCTCCAGATCTCCTCAGAACAAGACGGGGAGCTGAGACTGTGTCAGATCCTGGCGCTGTTGGGGAGGGATGTCACTACAGGCCCTGGAATGCTTGGGCTCAGCCTTGGGCTCAGCCACAGCTGAGGACACCCCCAGAGGCACTGACACGTTCCCAACCTGCCCAGGGAGCACAAGGACCAACCCAGATGCACAGACACAGCAAAGGTGCCCAAGGACTCGGACAGGAGGTTGCACACAAAGTGCTCTGCCCTGTGCACAGAGGGACACGTGCAGGCCAGAGGCTCCCAGGGGGTGATCCCAGGGGAGCACAAGCACAGGGATGTGCAGACACTCACACACTCTGAGCACAGTCCTACTGCCACACCCATTAGTGGGGATCAGCACGGGGGCAGAGGGGATGGGATGGGATGGGAGTGAGGGGTTGTTGGGGAGCTGCTGTCAGAGCAGGGACGGGGCCTCTGAACAGCACAGATGCTCAGGCAGCAGTGCCAGAGGAGCCTCAGGGACTGGCCAGCCAGAGGAGGAAGCCAAAGTGTTCTGATCAACAGGACAGGACCAACAGTCAGGGGAGGACTTGGGTGATGAGCCAAGGAAGGGAGGGCTGGGAGAACTGGGGTCCTTCCTGTCCATAGGAATTACAAAAGCAGGAAGCATTACAGAAATACATCAGAGTGCCCCAAGCTGGTATCCCCTGTCTCCTCTGGATCCTTTGTTCACTTAGTCCATGTTTTCTGCCCACACTGACACATCCCTGCCCCCAGAAATCCTGCAACCTCTCATATTCTGTCATGGGGACTCACAAGTGTCCATGAGGGAATGGGAATGATGTAAGCAGGGAAATGCAAAGTCAGGGTAGAGGGAGGAAACAACTCATGCCTTACCAGTCATTTCCAGAGATGTTTCCGTTCGCTGGGATCATGCAGGAAAATTGTCACTTATGCAGCACGGCCTTTGGGCCCTGAGGCTCTGTGGGGCCAGCATAAAAGCCAGCCTGACTGGTGGCTCTCTCAAGCCCTTCTGCCATCTCCTTGTCCTCAGCAACCCGGTGAGTGGACACCCCCTTTCTCCTCCCCTCTCTAGCACAGGGTGGAGTTTTGCAGCCCATCCCTGCTCCTTGTTGTTGTGGGAGGGCTCTGGGATGGGGGTGGTGTGGGCAGAGGGCAGAGCGTGTGTTGTGGCCAGAGGCTGAGCTGGGCTGAGGGGGTTCTTTTCCTGCAGCTTAGGCAGGAGCAGCCCTGGACCTGGCTGATGTGTGCAGGCCCTGCTGGGCTCAGGGCAAGGCTGCCTTGTTGGCCCCTGCAGAGCCTGTCCCTGGCCAGGCAGCAGCAGGTGCCTTGGCTTGCTGGTGGTGCTTGGCGGGCTGTTGCTGAGGTGTGCGTGTGCTCTGCTTGCTCCCTGCCCTGTGTGCCAGGTGCAGCCCCAGGCTCGAGACATGTCGTGCCCTGAGAAGTGCCAGCAGTGCCAGCCCTGCAACCCTTGCTGCCAGCCCTGCGGGCCCACTCCGCTGGCCAACAGCTGCAATGAGTGCTGTGTCAGGCAGTGCCAGAGCTCCACCGTCGTCATTGAACCTCCTGCTGTGCTGGTGACCCTGCCCGGGCCCATCCTCAGCTCCTTCCCACAGAACACCGTGGTGGGATCCTCCACCTCCGCTGCCATTGGCAGCATCCTCAGCTGTGACGGAGTGCCCATCAACTCCGGGGGCTTTGACCTCTCCTGCATCACCAGCTCCTGTTGTGGCAGCAGAAGGTGCCTCCCTTGCTAAAGACACCAGACACAGACCAGACCAGAAGGCCAGAAGATGATTCCAGACTGAACAACAGAGAGAGTGGCCATTGCTTTCAGAGGGGCTGAGCATGTCCCGCTCCTCCATTTGAGGAGGCTGTCCTGGACTCTCTGAAAACATGGCCTCTGCCATTCATTCCCTTACTCTGCTTTCTCCTTTTCCACTTTTGCCTTTGATATTTCCTCTTTCTCTTTACCTTGATGCTCACCAAGTCCAGCCTAGGATGGATTGCCTTACTATCCCTCCATGGGGCACTGACTGTTGACTGCCCATGGCGATGCTTTCACTGCATCCTCTTCTCAGAGACATCTGGTTTCTTTCTCTAGAGTCATTAAACTCTTCTGCATCCCAGTTAGTGGGTCTCTGTGTTTATTGCCTCTCCAGACCCTCTCTAAGCTGTCCTGGGAGAAAGGAGATACAATGGGAGGAAGCGGACCCTTTCTTATTCCTAAGGGTCCCTGGGAGATCAGCAGCTCTCCAGGCACACAGGGCAGTCCCTCTTGCTGTGCATGGAGTAAAATGCTCCTACAGAAGATGGTCATGAGGGAGAAATCACCTTGGCGTGAGCCCAGAAACTCCTCTTCCCCTTCCCACCCATCCCCAGCAGAAGGGGGCATTGCCTAGATCCAAGAGCAAGGATACCTCAGGCAAGTCCCCTGCTCTTCCATCCCATCCAGGCAGTGCCCAGGCAGCCCCACACGTTCACTGCACACATTGGCAGGGCTGAGGTGCCTTGCAGAGAGCACCTCCCCAAGCCCATCACACAGAGCAGCTCCAGGACAGGGAAGGTTGTTCACATGGGCTGCCAGGATGACACAGACAAGCAACGCCCAGTTCCTGCCACTGAGCCATGGACAGAGCACCCATCACCACAGCCCTTGCTGTCTCTTTGCAGCTCAGGGACACTCCAGTCCCATCCTGGAACTCGGAGGAGGATGAACACTTCAATGGCAGAAGCTCTCTCAACAACTTCTCCCTTTCCCTGAGGCAACAACCCCGGCCCCTCCCAGGCAGAGAATCTTCATCCCCAGATCTTTGGGTGCAGAGGGGAAATTAGGGATGTCAGGGGAGAACTGAGGCTCCTTCCTTCAGAGCTCCACCTTACACGGTCTGCTTGTTCAGTCGAGGCTATGCAGGAGGTTGGTGTGCTGAGCTCTGCCCGTGGCTGTAAACCTGCCACCAGTTCCTGGGTCCACAAGCACAAGGGTCAAATGACATCATTGCCTACTGCCCTCTAAGGGGAACAGGAGTGGGAGAAAGAGATTTGCTCCTGCTGGCACACACAGAAAAGAGAAGGAAAAGGCACAGACGTGAAAAAACCCCAAAGGCACTTCTAATTGCCATAATTGATGCAGAAGAACAGAGACCTTGACTGGCTTCCAGCTGCTTTCTCCCTCATCTATAGGACAAGAGAAAGTAGTATGAAAACAGTTGTGGGTTGAGGTACAGACAGTGGGATTACTCACCATGACCATCACAGGCAACCCTGGGCTTGACTCGGAGAACATTCATTCCAATCATTACAGATAAAGCATAGTGCAGGATTGTGAGAGAGAAAAACAAAAGAGAAAAAAAAAAAGAAGAAGATATGGAAAAGAAAAAGCTGAAATGCTTTCACTCCATCCCCTTCTCTGTTTCAGACTCAACTCCCCTCCATTCCTGGTTCTGCTGCTTCCTCCACCCTCAGGCAGCACACGCGGGGCAGGATGGGGTGTTGCAGTCAGTACACAACAGGATCTTTCAGTGCAAAAAGGGACTCCACTGCACCTGCACAAGAGAATGCAGCAGGATTTGGGTCTTTTGTCCTAAATCACATGTTCCTGCCACTGAGACACAATGGCCAGGCCCTGACACTGAGTCTTTGGGGGATCTGTGGAAAATCTGTGCTTGAAAACCCGAGGAGTTTGACTCCAAGCCGTTTGATTCTCCCTGAGAATCCATCCTACACCTCAGAGCAGAGCAGTCCATGCACCTGGTGCCTTGAGTGCAATAGACACTTGGAGGAAGGTCTCAGCCTCTGCCTCCCTCAGCACAGGCTGATGAGCTGTGCAAGTGAATCTGGCACTGGCTTGGCCATGAGGAGCCCTTGTCCCATCCCAGGCACAGCAACACTCCCGCATAAGGCATCGATGGCTCCTTGTGCAAGGGCAGCCCTCTGCTCTGCTGGCTCATGGCCACCCCAGGGGGGACCCCTGCACAGGAGCTTCACAGACTCTCCTGGCCATGTCTATGTTCTTATCAGGCCAAGAAACATCATCAGCTGGGGGCTCTTGTGAGGACACACTGGGATGTCCCTGCCATGGCAGTCCTTGGGCAGGCGGGCGAGAAGCACGAGAGCGATGCCCAATTGCTGACACCTTTGCCACAAACAAGACCACAGGAATGACCCAGGTGAACATCACCTGCATTCACAGGATGACAACAGCCCTTGATCTGAGACTTCTGCCTCTGCTGACACCTTTCTGCCCCAGAAGAAATCCTTGAGATTCTCATCCCAGCACTTCCAGAAGCGTTCATATAGGAAGGCACGTGGAATTAGACAGGAAATGAAAAGGCAGCAGTGCAGGAAACCAGGACACAGCCCCTACCATTAGCTGGGATGGTTCACAACTGGCATGAGCTGGTGAGAAAATTATGACTTCCACAAAGGTGCCTGTGGGCTTGGGGCAGAGCAGGACTGCTATAAAAGGCAGCCCAAGTCTCTGCTCTCTCATCCTCTTCTCTCACCTCCTTCTCCTCAGGAATCAGGTGAGTGGGAAGCCTCTTCTCCTCCTGCTGCTGCTTCAAGACCACGTCTTTCCTCCCTGCAGGTCTCAGCTGATGTGGGCTGTGCTAGGCCAGGGCTGGGAGCTGCTGGTGCTGGGAGAGGGAAGGGGAGAGAAGGGGTTGTGCAGAGAGAGGCTGGGACTTGGCTGAGGAGGCTGGTGGGCTTTGGGCTGGGCAGTGCAATGTGGGGCAGGAGGTGCCTTGGCTGCAGGGGGATTGGCTGCAGGGCTGCTTCTCATGTGTGCCCGCTTTGTGCTTGTCCCTGCCCTGTGTGCCAGGTGCCCCTGTGAGCCAGAGACATGTCCTGCTGCCAGCCCTGCAACCCTTGCTGCCAGCCCTGCGGGCCCACCCCGCTGGCCAACAGCTGCAATGAGTGCTGTGTCAGGCAGTGCCAGAGCTCCACCGTGGCCATCCAGCCCTCTGCTGTGCTGGTGACCCTGCCCGGGCCCATCCTCAGCTCCTTCCCACAGAACACCGTGGTGGGATCCTCCACCTCCGCTGCCGTTGGCAGCATCCTCAGCTGTGACGGAGTGCCCATCAACTCCGGGGGCTTTGACCTCTCCTGCATCACCAGCTGCTACCCTTCCAGATGTGGGCCCTGCTAAAGGCCCTGCAAACATCCTGGGGCAACAACCTGCAAGACCTCTGATCGTGCTGCTGGACTGAAAACAGACCTTTGGGACATGGCATTCACACTTTCTGCCTCTTGTTTCCTTCTCTCTTCTCTCTCTTCCCTTCCTGTCCTGTCACCACCACCCAATGCCACCCTCCTGGGGACTTTTTGGCCTTCCTCCCTCTGCAGCGCAGGCAGAGGGACACCCCCACTGCATGTCAGTGACTGCTGCTGGTGCCCTCTGTGAGCCACCTCCTTTGCTTCTTTAGTCTCAATAAAGCTCTTCTGCATCCAAGCCTGGGCCTATGAGTCCTTCTATTCTTTGGGAACTTTTCCACTGAGCTCAGGGAAGAAAGCAGAGGAAGGCAGATGGTTAGAGCTGCTGGATTTTTGTTTTTGCCTTTTTCTCTGTGTCTGACAAAGACCTGTATGGCTAAACTACAGCAAAGACCACAGCAAAAGAGAAGATGGCTCCAAAATATGTTAGGAGTTGATACGGGCAACAGCAATTCCTGGGCACAGCCCACAAACTCATCCTTTCCTACACCTCCCTTACATTGACTGTTCTGCCCAGCTGTGTCCAGACAGGCAGGGCTGGGGTGTTTGCTGTGTCAGGATTGGGATCAGCCACACAAAAGAGCTGAGTGGGATCAGCTGTTCCATGGAGCCCTTTGCAGGTCGATGTACCATGAAGGAAACTCTTATCCTGTGAAGAACCTGCACTAGAAAAGAATCATGGCAGAAATATGCACTGCAGTGGGGAGAAACTCTCAATGGAGCAGGTACTGCTGCCATGACCTTTGAACCTGTTAAAAGAAACGATGGAACATTTTGTTCCTGAAGAACTGCACCCTTTGGCAATGACTCACCCTGTAACAGGGACCCACAGTGGAGCAGGGGAGCAGAGTGGGAGGAAGGAGTGCAGAGACTTCCAGAATGGGCTGGGCATGACCCCCTTTCCCTCTCCTCCTGTGCCACTGGTGGGGAAGAAGACAGAGATGTTGGCAGTGAAGCTGAGACCCGGAAGATGGAAGGCTGGGGGACAGTGTGGATTTAGATTTATTACTGTTTCTCTTTGTCCTAGTCTATGGGTAATTGGAAATGAATTAAAGCTAATTCCCCCAATATGAATCATAATTGCTGAGTGTTTTCCCTGACCTTATTTTGACCCCTCACTTTGGCTTTGTATTTTCTCCCCTCGCCCAGGTGAGGACAGGCAGTGATAGAATGTCTTCATGGGCACCAGGCCACTTGCCAAGATCCACCCACCATGAGCTTGAAACACCTGGTTGACTGATTCCCTGAGCAGCCTGAACTCTGCTGGTGGCCTGGGAGAAAAGGCCAACCCCCATCTGGTTACAACCTCCTTTCAAGGAGTTGTAGAGAGTGATGAGGCCACCCCTGAGCCTCCTCGTCTCCAGGTTAAACAACCCCAGTTCCCTCAGCATGCCCTCACAGGATATGCCCTCCAGGCACTCCAGCTGCTCCACTGCCCTTCTCTGGACTCACTCCAGCCCCTCAATGTCCTTCCTCAGTTGAGGGGCCCAGAACTGGACACAGCACTCGAGGTGTGGCCTCACCAGTGCACAGCAGACGGGCA